TAATCATCAGAATATGACTTGAACCTCTGGAAGTTTACTTTAAATGTATTGTTTCAGCCGTGTTTGAATTATCTTTAGCAAATTTTTTCTTGCATGTGATATTAATGATATTGTCTGATGATTTCTGCATTATCTTGCGTCCACCCTCTTTGGAATTGCACAGATATGGATCTCTTCCAATTAATTGAGAGATAGTTGTCTTCCAAATTTCTTGGCATAAATGAGTGAGTGCTTCCAGAACTGCATCAATTTGTTGAAAGATTTCAATTTGTAGTCCATCAATTCCCTGAGCCTTGTTCTTTGTCAGTACCTTCAGTGCACCTTGGACTTCTTCCTTCATTATCATTGGCTCTTGATCATATGCTACCTCTTGAAATGGTTGAACGTTGATCATTTCTTTTTGGTACAGAGGCCCTTTGTTTTCCTTCCATCTTCTTTTGGTGCTTTCTGCATCTTTCAGTATTTTGCCCAAAGAATCCTTAAATAATGCAAGTCAAGACTTGAAGTTTTTCCTCATTTCTTTCATCTTGAGAAATGGTGAGTGTGTTCCTCCATTTTGGTTTTCTAACTCTAGGTCTTTGCACATTTCATTACAATATTTTACTTTGTCTTCTTGAGCTGATCATTGAAATTTTCTCTTTTCTCTTCAGCTCTTTTACTTCCTCATATCTTCCATTTGCTTTGGCATCTCTACACTTGGAGAGCTAGTTTCAGTTTCTACTGACATCCATTTTGTTCTTTTTCTTCTTTCTTCTCATCTTAATGACCTTGTTCTTTCTTTCTGTGTGATGTTCTTGATGTCATCCCACTCTTCTGGTTTTGGTAATTAGTGTCTGTTGCATTAAATCTGTTCTTGATATGATCTCTAAATTCAGGTGGGATATGTTCAAAGGTCATATTTTGGCTTTTGTGGATTTGTTTTAATTTTCTTCAACTTCAACCTGAACTTGTGTATCAACAGTTGACCATGTTTTCCAACTACTGATCCTTTCTGTCTTTATATCCTTTACATTCTAATCACCAGTAATTATCATTACTGGTTTAGGAAGTGAAAAGTGCAATTCTCAGAATCAGTTTAACTCAAATTGTCTCATGTGAAGTTTTGTCCTATGACAGCAACTCTAATAGTGCTAAGTCTCTAATCCTGGTGTCATACCATGTACTGTGGTTTACTTCTGAACAACTACCAAATGATTTTGTGCAGACTAGAGTTAACTCTGTTGCAAAGATATATCACAACAATGTTTTAAGTTTTCCATGATGAAATACTTTGCTGTAAGGGAACTGCACCTATCAAGATCTAGGCAGACGTAGTGTAATATTTAAAATGTGACATGGTAATACTTCATGTACAATATGTCTTACAAACGTGAACAATATTGTGCATAAAATATCACTGTTATTGTGTCAAAATCCCTAATTTTTTTTTTTTTTTTTTTTTACATATATGAGCACTTGGAGCTGAGAAAGCCTAATTAATGTTTCTATCTATTTTGGAAGACTAGACTTATATTCTATAACATCCTTGTGGACTTCCTTTCTTTCCCTTAAGGAGACAAACAAAATGACAAAACCATCTGGAGAAAATCAGTTTGACATTATCTGGGTAAAGGAGTTGGCAAACATATTTGTTGTTGTTGTTGAGTATTGTGGAGTCGGTTCCGACTCATAGTGACCCTGTACAGGGTTTCCGAGGCAGTAAATCATTATGGGAGTAGAAAGCCTCATTTTTCTCCTGTGGAATAGCTGGTAGTTTCAAACTGCCAACCTTGAGGTTAGCAGCCCGATTTGTAACCAATACGCTACCAGAGCTCCTTTGGCAAACATACAGACTTTTTTTTTTTTTTTTGGTCAATTTGTATAAAGGTGTATAGTTGGCCAGTATCATAAAGGAAAAGCTGGAAGATATTAAAATGAAGAAGTTTGTTCTTTAGGAAACCTTATTTAGAAACATATTTAAACACCAGTAGAATCAGAAACTGGAAATAATCTATTCAAGGTTGTCATTGAATCCATATTCTTATTTTTAGTATTTTTTTGAAAATTAATATTCCATTGGCTATGCTAGGAATTTTATTTAAGATTTGCCTATGTGTCGGATATAGAATAGTCTAATAGGAGTTATTAGAACATAGGGTTACATAGGAGATAAAAACCTTTAATTTTTCTAATGTTGGCAAGAATACCTGTCTATAGAGTACAAGTAATACAAATTCACTCAGAAATACTAGATTGTTCTTTGAACAAGGTAATGGTTGAACTGCTTCTTACAACCGAAAAAGATGACAAACTCAGAATAACCAATCACGTAACATCTAGGTGCCCTGTAAAGATAGGAGCATCTGTGGCACAGTGTGTAGGTACTTGATTGCTAATTGAACAGTTGCCAGTTTGAACCCACCAGCTTACCTGTGGGAGAAAGATGTGACAGCCTGCTATTGTAAAGGTTTATAAACTTGGAAATGTTATGGAGCTATTTTAATTGGCCCAAGAGGGTCAATATGAGTTGAAATCGACTCACAGAAGTGGGTTGATTCCCATCTCTAGATACGTTCTTGGAGTTCTGGTGTGGTGCTTTAGGGTAAGCATTGGATTGCTAACTTGAATTTGGCATTTCAAACCCACCACCCATTTCTTAGACACCCTGTACCGGGCCGCTGTGAGTCAGAACCTACTTAACAACAGCAACTCCAAGAAGTATGAGTCCACCAGCTGCTCCGTGGAAGATGAGACTTTGTACTTCTGCAAGGATTTACAGCTTCAGAAACCCTATACAGAGTTGCTATGAGTCGGAACAGACTTAACTGGCACATAACAACAAGTACCACACCATAGATAGGCCCAAGAAGACAGAAAGTTGTTCTCATTTCCTGCTTATCCTGGGCCTCTGTCCTCTTTTTCTCAGAGCTAGCTAGCCCGGAGTCTGTTGAAGCATTTTGTTTAGTTTTGTTTTTAGGGTGTTTTAAGAAAAGATAATTCTTATATAAATCTGTGTGCTTGGGAGTATCCTGACAAGTGTAAAGGATAGGAAATATTATTAATTGAGGAAGAAGAAAAATGGAGAGTGGGGAAAGAGGAGAGAGAACCAAAAAAAAAGGCAGTGTCCCCGGCAGTGGCTGTAGATAGTACGTCTCAGTTCATAGTGTGCTGTCTCTAGTTTGAGTGCTGTCCACTTTGGGGCCAGTTTTTCTTTGAGTTTTGAAATTGAGAACTGAACTTGTACTTTTAATTTAAAGGTACTTTAGAGTACCTCTTTTTCCAATGCTGTTGAAATTTTAGAGAACCAAGAAAAAAATACTCTAATAACCCTTTTCTAACCAAACCACTGTTAATCTTTTGATATATTTTCAGCCAAGTCTTTTTTTTTTTCCTTTTATAATTATTTTTATGTATCTGGAATTTAAAAATGTCTGTGTTTTTGTCTCCTGCTTCTGTGAAATGTCTTTCACTGTGTTCCCTTTGGAATGCTGGCTGAAGGACAAATTTTGGATGATACGATAAATGCATTAGTTAAATGGTTATTTTAATCTTTAAAGAAACTTTGTTTTGTGATTTGCTGTTTTTTTAGTAGGTGGCTAATGTTTGTATACACCATTACTACCAAGTAAGGGAATGGGTCTTAAAATTATGTTGAGGATAAGGATAGTGGGAGCCTTCTGAGAAAATACGTCACTCTACTTTTCAGGAATTGTCTTGATTTTTGGCTGGGATTTATCAGTTGCTGCTTTTAGACACACATTCTTTTGCTAGTTTTCATTTAAATGAGTCTTTTTCTTATCATGTCCAGATATATTTTGATGGCAGAATAATGAACCATTACCAGTCTTCATTCTGATTAACAAACATTGTAGTTTAACTTTGTAAGAATGAGAAATGGTGTCATGTAAGATGGGAATGTCTTGAATTATCACAGGAGATAGCTTTTTGGAAGACTAGTATGGTGGAGTGTTTCTGTTTCATTTTGCTTGAGTCAAGTAAATAGTAGTACATTAAAATCATTAAAAGTTTTAATACAGTTTGTTCTGTTAGGACAGATTTACTTGGGAATTTGACTCACCCTGCAATCTCTTAAAAAATATCTAAACAGGAGCAAGCCCATAGTACTGCAGTGGAAAGCACACAGGATTTGGAATTAGGATGAGTTTGAATCCTAGGTCTACCAGTTGACTTGCGGGGGACACTTTTGTATTAGTTTCCATTGACTGCTGCAACAAATGACCATAACCTGGGAGTCTTAACATAAATGTATTTTCTGATGGTTCTGGAGGCTGAAATCAAAATGTCAGCTGGACCATGCTTTCTTCACAAGCCCTAGGGAAGTTTTTCCTTGCCTCTTCTAGCTGACATTCCTTGGTGTTCCTTGGCTTGTGGCAGCATCACTCCAATTTCTGCCTCTATCTTCATATGGCCTTTTAGGAATAGAAAAATGTGGACACAGAGACTCAGACACACAGAGGAAAGAGGACCATATGAAGAAAGAGGACCTTTCTGAGGCTAATGTAACACATTCTTGTAGGTTGCTGGGGATAGCTTGATGAAAAGAATTGGGATGTAGCATGATAAAAAGTTGGTTACTTAGTATAAATTTTAATATTCTAAATTTTATTGGAATGATTCAGTAGTAGGGAAAAGTATCTGGTGAATAATTTTACTACAGAGAAAGATAATTTGTGTCCTTTAAAAGTAAATGTATAGGGAGGGGGAAGGGTAGCGGACGGGTTTCTAGGATATCCCCTTTGGTCGGAAGATGATGCATGGAGGGGATTGGAACCATGGCAATGAAATGGTATACGATGGAATGAATGTAAAACTAAAGTTCTCTCATGTAAACTATCATATAACTCACAAGAAAACATTAAAAAAAAAAAAAAGTAAATGTATAGATGATCATTAAAACTAGACAAAGGGAAATGTCGTAACCTATTCTGTTTCTGTTAATTTCAGAACTGAAAACAGAGTAAAATCAATTTTCAACATTAAAAGACCATTAAGAAATCAGCATGGGGACTCCTGGGTCTGGAAGGAAAAGAACTCCTGTGAAAGACCGTTTTTCTGCTGAAGACGAAGCTCTGAGTCACATTGCCAGAGAGGTGTGTCTGGAAAACCCCGCTCAACATTGGGTTGCAAAGATCAGTGTATTGTAATAATGATGTTCATTTGTTGAACTAGTTTCGGGATACTTACTGTAGCAAAATCTTGTTGTTGTTGTTGTTGTTAAGTGCCATCGAGTCGGGTCCGACCCATAGCGACCCTGTACAGGGTTTCCGAGGGTGTAAATCTTTACAGGAGTAGAAAGCCTCATCTTTCTCCCGCGGAGCGGCTGGTAGTTTCGAACCGCTGACCCTAAGGTTCGCAGCCCAATTCGTAACCACTACGCTACCAGAGCAAAATCTTATGGCTGGTTTTTCTCTCAAATACTGTTTTAGAATAAAGTATGGTTACTGTAGAAATTATAGTTGGAAACCTGTTCAACTTACCTAAAATTAACTTTTTAATTTTACTTCAGTGGGTTACTTGTGTGAATATATTGACATGTACAATTAAGTTTCAGTGTTAAATTTAGGATAATAACAGTGTTGAAAATATGTTAACTAATTAGAAATGCTCATTGCCTTCTATAGTTGCTATGTGAATGTTGACAGAAACGGTGCATACAGCTGTTCAGATTCAGTGTCTCAGCTATTATATTTTGAAATATAGCATGGGGTTTTTATATTTAATTATTTTAGCTAATAACAGCCTCTAGGGCATTTTGGTTTCCGTTTGTTGACAAGTCAGAAAAAAAGAGAAGGGGTTTCACCTACTGAAACACTGGCAGCATTTCCTGTTGCATATTGGAAAATTAAGATAAATCTCAGCTGGGATTTCTTAGTGAGATTTCAGAATCTAAGTCTATCTGCAGCTGCAGACACAGTCATATACTAATCTGGTATAAAAATTACTAAGAGCTTTATTAAGTTTTATTCTTTTATGAGAACTATTCCCTCATCTCTTCCTCTTTGCTATTCTTAGTAAATGGAGTCCTGTGGGCTAATGCTTCAGACTGCAAAGTCGTTTGAACTGCAAAGATTTGTGGTTCAACCTCAGCAGTTGCTCTTTGGAAACTGTATATAGGGTTGCTATGGGTCAGAATCAACTTGAAGGCACTTAACAACAACAACAACAATTCTTAATAAATAAGTCATTTAGGTCTTCTTTTGTTTCCTTTTGCTATATTACAGAGCCTTCTTTTTTACCAACTCAAAGTTTGACATATCACAGTCTTCTGTTGTTCCTTCTTGCAAGCTGTTGTGTTAACTTCTGATGTCAAATTCTGTAGGAGAGTATTAAAGCCAGTATCTAAAAACTGATGGCCAAATTGTGTTATTACTTTAAAAATCATTGAGACATGTTTAGATTAAACGCTAAAAGATATTTAAAAATGAAATAGTAGACATTACCATGATCTTAAATATTTGTACCAGTGAAGCATTTTGGAAGCCACATAGTTTTAGTTGGAAATTGAAAGCGCCCGCAAGCTTGCATTTAAACCTTTCCAGTAGCATTTTTGTACGCATTCACTCCCAGTAAGCACAGACCTTTCTCCATGTTCTTCCCATTTACCCACCTGAACTGAGGAGCTGTTGTTGGGGCAGCCCTCCTCTCGTGCTGCCTCTCAGTATACAGCCTGGCCGAGATCACTTGACTTTGTGTTTTCAGGTTTTGAGGGGAGCTTTTTGAGCCCTCTGAGTCCCTGGGTATTTTAAATGATTAAGCACGTGACCATTAGCAGAAAGATTTTGGAAGTTCAAATCCATCTGGTGGTGCCTGGAGACATAGGTCTGGTGATGTGATCACCGTCTTGAAGACCCTATGGAGCACAGTTCTGCCTCACACATAGGACTGCCGTGAGTCCAAGATAACTTGATGACAAATTACAACAACCTTGAGCCTGAAGACTTATTTTTATCTTAGTGTGACGACTGAAGAATATTTGGTATGACATTTACTGTTACAATCTTTACCATTCCCATGAGTTACTTCTTTCTTTTCCTGAAAGTATTTCTCATAGACTTGGAAGTTACATTTCTTCCCTTTGATTACATATGCCCTTTCAGATCCAAATTTCATTTCTTTCTGTTATTTCTGCTTGTTAAGTTATATTCAAACCTCAATAATAAAGTTCTTAACCTTAGATTTCCTGTCTCATTCCAAAAAATATTTATGTTTTCAGAATAACTGTATCTCGGAATAAAAGGAAGATACAGTTATTTGACATCAGAAGAATTTATCTGTTTTGCTTGTATATGGGTGTTTATGCATAGCAAATTTTGAATACTTAACTTCTCAATTACCAAAAGCATAAAACAAAACCAAAAACACAGTTGCATTGTAAGATCTAATTAAGAAAAATGGTACCTAAGATTTTGTAGTAAAGGGACATTGCTAGGAAATGAGTCCTGATTTTTATTTGCTAATTTGGAAACCATGGTAACACAATAAATATTATGTCTCTTAATTTGTCTTTCAGCGTTCTTTTGGCATGCGAGTCACAGAAGAATAAACAAAACTAAACACAGTGAACTATGTTCAGGGTTTAGCTACCTGAATTTCAATCCTTGTTCTAGAATGTCACATTGTCTAGGATTTTATATTTCTTGAAATTAAAACATAGCCTGTAAAGGTACAGATTATACCATTGCTCTCTCTTTCTCATCTCAGATACATTAAGTATCATATATATTATAGTAGAGATTGGCAATTTCAGATTTTCTTGGCCTAGTTCAGTGCATATCTGTCAAATTACTAATTTTTAATTTTATCTCCCTTTCACAGGGTTTATATGATCACAGCAGGACAAAAACCTTTAAAGTTAATCTCTACACCCCTCACCCTAAATTTTATTGTGGGTGAGATCTGTATAACAAATCTATATAACAAAAAATTTCTGGTCTTAATTATTTTTTAATTTTTTATGTCTTTGCAAATCTGCACAAGACCTTTTTAAAGTGTTGAAGAGCAAAGATGTCAGCTTGTCAGCTTGAGGACTAAGGTGTTCCTGACCCAAGCCATGGTATTTTTTCACTCTTCTTCCTGAGAAATTTCAAGGTGTCACTGTTGGTCATTAATGACGTAACTCAGGATTTAATTTTCAGCCTGTTTCCTTTTTAGTCTATCTGTCCTGCTCTATAACCCCCGTTCAGGCATTTTTCCTAATGATGAACAGTTCAGGGCCAGCTGTGGCTGTTTTGTGCTGCTGTTTGGTTTTAAGTGGAAACTGTCCCTTTAAATTTTGAGATCTGTGCGCATGCGTAATAGAATCCTCCCAGGATGGGGGTTGGTGTGAGGCACAGGCACCCCCTCTAGTCACCAGAATGAAGGTGCGCAGACCTCGAGAAGCCAATAAACAGATATGAAAAAAATAATGTCCACACCTTTATCTCCGTGGTTCTGTCATGCATCCGTGGCCGCTCTGATCTTTTCCTGGTTTGGTCTCGCCCAAGATGGCCGCTCTGGTTGCATCTCAGTGCCTTGGATTAGAAAGCAATGGATTTCTTGCTTCTGCTACAAATTCCACTGGCAGTAAGCCTTCCAACTTTCTAAATATTCCTTTATATTGGTAGTTCAGAGATCTGGTACCATTCCCTGAACCTGCTTGGTCCAGTATTTGGTGGTGTTGCTGATGGAGCTCCTCATTGCACTTCCACCTGATCCGCCATCTTATTTGTTCTTCTCTAAGCCCTAAGCTATTTTTAAGTATATAATTTGATGACATTAATTACATTTGCTTTGAAGTGCTACCTTCATCACTGTCTGCATTTTCAAAAGTTGTATATCATCCACCAGAAACTTATCTCTTTTAGCAGTAAATCCCATTCCTTCTTCCTTGTAGCTCTTACTAATATACTTTTTTTCTCTATGTATTTGCCTAGTCTAGATATTTCAATACAATACTTGCCCTTTTATATCAGACTTATTTTACTTGGCATGTTTTTAACATTTACCCATGTTGCATGAATCATACTTTCATGTCTTTTTATGACTGAGTGGCTGTCTTATGTATATACCCATTTTGTTTTTTCTGTTCATCTGTTGGTGGATGCTTGGATTGTATTAACCTTTTGGCTATTGTAAATAATATTGCTGTGAACTTGGTACACATGTATAAATTCAGCTTTCTTGCAGGTATACAATTTATTAACAGCAACAACAATAATTAGTTATGCAGTCCTGCCATTAATCAGTGTGATTTTCCCCTCACCGTTAACTTCTTTTCCTCTTCCCTCCCACCCTGGTAACTATGAATAAACTTTGAACTCTGTACGTTTGCCTTTCTTCTCCTTTTTATTAGTGAGGTTATTCAGTATTTATCTTTATTCTGTATTTGTCTCAGCATCCATAATGTAGCATGCATCACCACATCAGTTCTATACTGATTGAGTAGTAATCCATTGTATGTGTGTACCACATTTTGTTTATCCACTCATCTGTTGAAGGTCGTTTAGGTTGTTTTAACCTTTTGACTATTCTGAATAGTGTTGCATTGGACATTGATGTACAACTCTGTTTTTTGAATCTCTGCTTTCAAATCTTTAGCTTCTAACTTAGGAATAGAATTGCTGGGTCCTATGGTAGTTAAGTTTTTGAGTGCTATACAGTTTTGCATAGTAGTTGTACCATATAACAGTCCCACTGGTAATGGATAAGGATTTTAATGTTTTCACCAACACTTACTTGTTTCCTTTTTTCTAATATCAGCTTTCTTCTTGGTTGATAACTCCAAGGGAACATAACAATAACAGCAATGGATGTAAGATGACATCTCAGTGATTTTTAGACACAGTGGGTTAGACATTAAGGGACTACCAGTTGCAGCTTGAATCTACCAGTTGCTCCTTAGGAGAAAGATGAGGCTTTCTGTGTCTGTAAAGATTTACAGTCTTGGAATCCCTATATATGGTCACTGTGAGTCAGAATTGATTCATTGGCAATGGGTTAATTTCTGACGACCTTGAACATAGGCTTATGGGCCATTTGTGTATCTTCTTGGCGAAAATGTGCATTCTAGTCCTTTGCCCATTTCTTAATTTGCCATTTTGTTGTTGAATTG